TGCGTACCGTGGCCAGACAAGATATGGCACGCGACAGGGCACATGAGGTCACCGAAGTGAGACATAGACAGCATAGCTACATCATTGCGGTGATACAGTGCGCTAGTTAACAACCATCTTGTAGGCTGGTCAGAGCTCTTGCGCATAACGAAATGTGAGTTATCAAGCTAGGCAGTGCGTCAACAATGACGGGAGACAGGACAGACGTGTATTGACGTTGGACATGACAAAGAAAAAAGAACACATTGATTGTCGCAAGGCCGAGAATTGATGGAACACAGGACAAATCGAATTCATCGGTATGTACATACTGCGACAAGCAGTCGTCATCAGCGATGCTTGTCCGAGATCGGAGAGAGGCGAGGCTGGATAAGACAAGGGCGTGTGATACCCTGGAGGCAAAGATGTTTTGAAATCGTGTTTTTATTAATCATCCGTCGTTGGTCTCTGGTGACCCCCCATCCGCTAAGCTGCAAGTAGTACCAAATGACACAATAGCAACGACGAAAGCAGAGTGGGCATGGGTCCCGACATAAAAAAAAATCGGGTGGNCCGTTGGTCTCTGGTGACCCCTCATCCGCTAAGCTGCAAGTAGTACCAAATGACACAATAGCAACGACGAAAGCAGAGTGGGCATGGGTCCCGACATATAAAAAAAAAATCGGGTGGAATACACCAAGACAGCGCGGGAGACAATACACGCACCAAAAACATCATAGACACGAAGAGTGGCGGTACCAACCGCTCGATTCACACTAGAAGAAAATTGCAGGCAAGCCTGTGTCGGTACGTCGCGTGGAGACGGAGTAGAATACCAAATGGCGCCCATCTTACTGGCAGTGCGAGTGCTCTAGCGCATATAAACGATGCGGGGCGTCAAGTGATGTAACGAAGTCGAACCACGGGACGTTAACCAACGGGACAAGAATACACATCAATGAAGTTGCCGGGCGGCGTGGAAACATGCGGCCGGGAACTAAAACAACATATAATAACAAGGCGTGCGCGGTACTTCGCACGGGTCCCAAATGAAAATCATGGGCACCAGGAGAAAAGCCATGTGGGTACGGACTACCCCCGAGTACGCACAGGAAAACATGCTAATACTCGATAATGCCGCAGCAATAAGAAAAAAAATCAAACAAAAGACATCACAAGCACGCGGGCGTCGACCAAAGGTTGTTGCCAAACCGATGGATTGGTGGACGGCAGACCATTATAACAAACGGTGCTGGACAAGATTGCGCAGACAGTAAGCCCATATTAAGTGCTAGCGGCGGAGGATGAACGGACGTTCCTCCGAGGTGGGGAAAATGCTGAGGGATCTTGGGACAAGATTTCGGCGCGGTAGGATGCAATCATTTCGGCACATTGGGGAATAGCACGGTAGTGGCGCCAGAGACCCAATTGTGACGAGTAGTCTTTCAACTTGAGGTGGTACTGGAAGTTGTCCAGCGAGGCTGCTCCTACCCCCCGTTTATGACCGTCGATAAATTCGATGGTGTACGGACCGAGGGTGACGGCGGTTGTGGAACCATCGAGATCCGGGAACGGGAGAGTTGTTCCTAAAAACAGTTCATCGAGTGTTTCAGGGTCCGGGACCGGAGACGAAGTAGGGGCGATGTACGGTTTCATGCGACCCAGATGGACGGTGGTTTCGGTCGGCTCGTTAGGTTTCGAGACACGATAGATGACGGGCGAAAGTTGGGCCCGGACAGTGTACGGACCATACCAAGGGCTTATGAGCTTGGGATTGGGTCCAGCCGATTCGGTGTATGGACGATGGACAAGTACTTGGTCACCGAGCTTAAAGCTAGGGAAGGACAGTTTCTCATTCGCATCCGCTTGTTTAGATGAGCGTTCTTTGAGGTTGCGGCGAGCTAACTCGTACGCTAGTTGGAGATTCTCG